TTACTACTAAAATTACATTCCATGTATTCAGTTTTAGTTCTACTTAAACGAAGGCCTTTAGACTCCAATGTAGACCTCCATAATTCAAGTTTTTCCTGGGCTTTTTCTCTCGTTTTATCCACGAGAAGAATATCATCAGCAAAAAGCATACACCAAGGTACATCCTCTTGTAGATGTCCAGTAAGACTATCCATAACTAAAGCAAAAAGATATGGGCTTAAAGCCGATCTCTGATGTAATCCAACAGAAATAGGAAAATATTTTGTCAAGCCTCCTTCAGTTTGAACACAAGTAACAGCTCTAGTATACATATCTTTAATGACTTGAATATAAGTCATATCAACACATTTCTTCTCGAGAACTGTCCAAATGATATCTCTTGGAACTTTATCGTAAGCTTTTCCTAAATCAATAAAAATCAAATGTAGATTCTCCTTATTATCTCTAAACTTCTCCATCAAACCTCTCAATAAATGTATAGCTTCCATAGTAGTCCTGCCCGACATAAATCCAAATTGATTATGAGAAATTTTTGTGATGCGTCTTAACCTATGTTCAATTACCCTCTCACATAATTTTAAAGTATTACACATCAACTTAATTTCACTATAATTTGTACACTCTCTTGCATCCTCTTTATTCTTAAAAATGGGGATCAAAATACTCTACCTCCACTCCTCAGGCATCTTTTTAGTTTTTAAAATAATATTAAAGAGTTTAGTAAGCCAAGAAACTCCCAAATCTCCCAAATATTTCCACACTTCAATTGGGATATCATCAGGTCCTACAGACTTTCCACCCTTGGTTTTCTTTAAAGCCTCCTCAACTTCTTTTTTGCTAATGCGACGGTAAAAATGAAACGTTTTATTATTATTCACAATATTAAAATCACTGTGGTCGATTGTATTTTCAGAAACTTCATTAAAAAGTTTATCAAAGTAACTCACCCACCTATGTTGAATATCTTTTTCTAAGAAAAGTACTTTTTGATTTTCATCTTTAATACACTTTACTTGAATTAAATCTTTACTTTTCTTTTCTCTTTGTTTGACTAGTTTATACATATATTTTTCACCCTCCTTAGTATCTAATCTATTATAAAAATCATTAAAAGCAGAATTTTTAGCGTCACAGATTGTTCATTTAGACTTCATGCGGGCCGTTTGATATTTTTTTCAGTTCTCTAAACTTTTACATTTAAACCAATTTTTATAACATAATTTCTTATATATTATCTTTTCTTGCACATTATTATTCCACCACCAACTATTTTTATTTGTAAATACTTTTTCTTTTGATTCTCCAAACACATCTTTTGCTACTTGTTTAATAATATTTGTTACTTTATCCCACATAACATTTGCTTCTTCATGAATATCCCAAATTTTAAAATCTTGAATTTTACTCATAAAAATAATTTTAGTGGATAACTTAGATGAGAAAAAATGAGTGTTATGTTGTTTCACCCTTTCCTCTTATCTATATCTTGCTTCCACGCTTTATATAATTCTCCTATTTTAATTGACTTCATCATAATTCTTGGATCTCTTTTGGGACAATAATATACTTCATGTTGTGTTAATTGGTATTATAGTTTAGTCTTATTTCGCAGCTGATAAATTGACCACCAAACTAGCAACATGAGATCACAAGTATCCATTTTTTGTGCTTCTTTCATTCAAGTCTTATGCATTTTTAGTAGATTTTCTACCTTCATTAGCTCCACAGTTATCCCATGTCACTAGTTTAAAGGAGTTGAAACAAATAATGAGAACAGTGCTTCATTATGCTGACACAATGACATTGATTTTAAAATAAAAAAAAACTAAATTTATACATTTCCATCATCATGAAACTTTCTGTATGCAAAACTTTATCTGACCAGACTTCTTCGTATCAAAGTAATCATACTATTGCAAAATTTTAAATTTACAATTTCATTTGAAAGCCTTAAAAAAGATGCATTATTCGAATCAAATTGAATATCATGCATACATTTCATTATTCCTTTGAGTTTCAGATTAACGAAGGAACAGCTGAATGGGAAAGAATTGCAAATGAGGCTGCAAGAACAATCCCAGGAAGGGAAAATGGAGGAAATTGTGACATCAAGAATCTAAGTAGAGGTTCAAAAATATATCTTCCAGTTTTTGTGGAAGGCGCAAACCTCAGTTCAGGTGACATGCACTTCTCTCAAGGTGATGGTGAAGTTTCATTTTGTGGAGCAATAGAGATGGGTGGTTTCCTAGAGCTCAAGTAAGTATAGTGCCCCTTGATTAAATATAGATAATGCATTTTCCCCATCTAAATCATCACAAATTATTCGTGTTCTCCTATTGAGATGCTTGCAATCATTGGGCAACAAAACCTTTCACTTTTTAATCTTTGGTTACTAATGTATCCAAAATCATGTTGAGATCTACAAAAACAATTATTTTCCTCTCTAACAAATAATACTTACGAACTATTCATAGTAGGAATCTACAAAAACTAATATTTTCATTACTATTAGGATATTCTCTTTTATATATTTTTTTTTCTCTTGCCTATATATAGGCATATGTATGCATGTACTAAAAATATAATTCAATAAAGATTTGTCTCTGACTCAACTGAACAAAGTATAGATAAGCAATTCAAAGCCCAGTTCTAATAAGAACTAATAACTAGCCCATACAATGATTTGATCAATGTGCTCATAGGTGCCAACGATTAGGAAGGAGGTCAAGGACATCATTCACACCAGCGGTGTAAACAAATCGAGCCAATCCCAAGTTATTCTTGATTTGAGCTTGAGCTTGATTAATTAATCAAATTTGACTTTAAATCTATAAATTTTAGCTGGCTTATGGGCCTGCTCATTTATTATGAAAAAAAATGTAAAAATGATTATAATTGAATCAATAAAAAATTATAAAAAGAATGAATAGTTGGAAAAAAATAAGAAATAATAATCAAATGAGATATAATTTTAGATATTTTTATTAGTTTAATAAAACTATTAAATTTCATAATCTTCTAAGTACATATTAAAATTCTCATTTTAAACAAACTGATTCATGAATTGATGAGTTTGGATCAAACTCGTCTTATTAACTCATCAAACTCTCACTAAATGAATCATGAGCCGAACTCAATTCAACTTGACTTCCTAATTACTCTCCTAATTGAAACAGAATTAAGAAATTCATGTAAAGTGTAATATAGCCTTTGCACATTTTATTTTTAGCCATGTTAAGATTTGAAGAAAATGTTACATCCCGACAACCGCATGGATTGCATCACTCCACCGAACGCATAGTGTGGTGCGATCCGCACCGTCATACCTATACCGATTTACCAAATGTAATATTTTCTCCAAAATTTGGTCCTTTAAATTTTTATTTCTTTGGCACTGTTCTTTTCCCTCAAAAGGCGGATAATTACATACAGAGTACAAGAAACATTGTTATTTACAAATCTAACATCTAGGTGAATTTTTGAACTGCGAAATCCATGCATTTATACGTGAGAGGATCAAACCATTTATCATGACCTTTGATATTTGAATGAGAATTTGAAAAAAAAGATGAAAGAGGGTGCTTGATTTGTAAATAGTAATGTTTGGGTGCCCTAATTGCAGGTGCGAGATCATAAGGGGCGGGATGAAGGAATACCTATCCCCAATGGGGCCAACCGCGCTGCACGTGAATCCGATCTTCGAGATCGGCCCAGTGGAGCCTCGATTCTCCGAATGGTTGGTGTTCGAGGGCATCAGCGTGGACGAGAGCGGACGGCAGCATTTCATGGACGCCACAGTGGCCTACAAGCGCGCCGTGCTGAACGCCATTGATTACATCTCCAAGTTCGGCTATTCGAAGGAGCAGGCTTATCTCCTCCTCTCTTGCTGTCCCTGTGAGGGCCGTATCTCCGGCATCGTTCACATTCCCAATGCCGTCGCCACCATTGCTATCCCTGTCTCCATTTTCGACCAGGTATGTCCTTCACCTCCTGCCTCTTTCGAGTCTTGTGTTTAGTGCACGCCTGGCGCCGAATTTCTATGGATTAGAAAAAAAATTAGTTTTGGTGTTTATATGTCAATGCATAGGAATTGGGTGGTAGGTATCTCCCCAGAAAAAAAGGGGAAATTTATATGGATACCACACAATTCTTATGTATTTATATGTCTGACGCCTAAACAATTTGATATTTACACTTATAAAATATTGGTTTCATAAATATATACATGAAAGTGTATTTAATTTTAAAAAAAGATTTTGATGAAATTATTTTTGATGTGATGTTAATGGTTATAGTTGTATGCATGTAATTATGTAAACCAGTTTTAAATTAAAAAAAAAACAAATAGCTATGAAAAAACTGTTTACCACTATACAATTAAAAAAATACGCATGAAGCCTTTTTTTTTTTGTTGTTTTGGTTAATAAAATGATTTTAAAAAACAAATTTAACTATTTTTATATAGAAAATTAAAAATAAAAAAAAGATTTTGATGTCAGATTATTATATTTAGAAAGATATCATAATAACAAATTATTTCGTGCCTGAATATTCACGAGGGTAGAGCAATAATTTAACTTCTTAGTATTGGATGAAGATACAATACACTCATAGATAAACGAAAAGTAAATAAGAAGGATATATCTGTTTTTTACGTGGAAAATCCTGAAGAGGGGAAAAAAATTGTAGACCCTAGCCCAATTGAAATAATCTACTATGTGATTGTAAGTGCATAGGTACACTCTTCTCTTGAATTAGAAAAGATGGGGTTATAATGTTGATGTTCAACAACAATCCAGTAATAATAATTGTAATGAGCCACAAAAGGTCATAGTCGATTCCAATGAAGACAATAAACGACCATGGGTGTTATAGAAGATATTTATAGTGTCAACATGTTGCAGATGTTATAGTTGAAAGTCGTGGTAGTAGTTAATTTTATAGGTTATACATGACTGTGCTTTATGATTTTTTGTTGGCCACATAACGGGGGGAGGGGCATAGTAAAAAGCTACAGGAGCTGTGAGCCACATAGGTCGTAGTCGATTGCATAGGCAGTGGTGATGAGCTACGATAACATCTGTAGACCACAGAGGTTGGAGTTGGGAGTTATGTGAGTTATAGATTAAATAGGCCATACTTGGTCATATTAATCATAGTGTTGAGCTGCAATTACGCCAGTAGACTGCATAAGCTGTAGTTACGAGTTACTTGAGCTGTGGACCACGTAGGTTGTAGTTGCTCATGTAGGTCGTAGTGGTGGGTTGTAATATATACGTAGGTCATAAAGGCTAGAGCTAAGAGTTACATGAGTTGTAGGACGTAGTTGGTCATCTAGATCATAATGGTGAGTTGCAATAACTCCATAAGCCATAAAGCCTAAAGTTGAGAGCGACATAGAGTTATAGGGCATAGTTGATTACATAAGTTATAGTAGTGAGTTGTGATAACATTTGTAGGTCACACAGGTCAGAGTTAGGAGCTGCAACAACATCTATAGGCTACAAAGGTCGGAGTTGAGAGTTGCATAAGTTGTGAAACACGTAGGTCGTGATTAATTGCCTATAACTGCCGTACTCAGAATAGAATGATCTCTGAACTCTTGAAGTTCTGTCGTCATAACTCCCCACTACGACTGACAACCCATGTGATTCACTGCAACTGCAGCCTCTTACCATGACATTGGTGACATCACTATAGCTCCTCACTACGGTTCATAACTACGACCTACGTGATCACATAGGTACTAGTTATAAGCTATAATAACATCTGTTGGTCACAGAGACCGTATTGGAATGCTATGTGAGCTGTGAGTTACATATGTCGTAGTTGGTCACATAGACCGTAGTGAGGAGCTGTAGTGATGTCACCAATGTCATGGTAAGAGGTTGCAGTTGCAGTGGATCACATGGGTTGTAAGCCGAAGTTGGGAGTTGTGATGACAGAACTTCAGGAGTTCAGAGTTCATTATAATATGAGTACGGTGGTTGTAGGCAATTACTGCAAGGGTTACATCTTATTCGAGGTGTGTTAGTACATAGTCTTTAAGGTGCATCACTATCTCTTCTTCGGGGTGCGTCATTATTCCTCAACGTGCGTCGGGATTCTGTAGTGTGCGTCTTGATTCTGTAAGGGGTTTCATCGCAACGTGCAAGGGGTGATCGATAATGGTCGATAGCGGCTGACAGTTGCAGAAGGAGGAAGCCTTCTCCAGGTCTTCTATCTAGAACGACATTGAAATCCAGCTCCTTGAACCAGCTCTAGAGCTTGGTTTGTCATAGTACTCAAGGTGTGTTAGTACATTGTCTTTGGGGTGTGCCATTGTTCTGTATGTAACGCATGTCGGGATTTTGCAGTGTATATCGTGATTGCGCAAGGGGTTTTGTTGCAACGTGCAAGGGGTGATCGATGGTAGTTGACTGTGGCAATCCTATATCTTGAAATCTTTCTAATTTCCAAATATATTTATTTTTATAGGGGCATTTATATGCATGCCACCCAAATCTTATTTATTTATATATTTATCATTAAAATTTTATTTTTTATATTTTATGCCACACGATGTATCATGTCTAAAATGTTAGTACTTTAACATAAAAAACAAACATCTTTATTTATTTTTCTTTAATCTTGTTCATTTTTTGATTTTAAGTAAAATATTTTTGACATGTTGAAAACAAAATTAAATTGTTTATATTTTAACTGTTTTTAAAACAAAACTTTCTTCTCCCTATGGAAGTTACTTTTGTATTCTTCCACTTTATCAGCTAAATTATCCCATTGATTTATACTAGTAGTAATTTTCAAGCAGGGTAACATTCTTTTTTGCATTTGATGGAAGACTGAGGGTATGTTTGGGGTGACTGCAGCTTTTTAAAAAGACGATTGTAAAATGATGGTGGGAAAAATAACTTCTTAGAAAATTACAGTGTGAATTATAAATATATCTATATTACAAAAAATTAGACAACATATTTTGTTACAGTCATCATACTTTAATGTGTCAAGTTGAAAAAAATAGCTTCTTGTCGCAAGAATTTCTAGAAAGCAACAATAAGATAGTTTCCCAAATAATACTATGATGACGGTCTGAAATGAAAAGCATACAAAATCCTTTCCTAAACATACTATCACTATATCAACCTCCCTTATGGTAATTGTAATGTAATATTATATTGTAGTGATTTTCTTTTTTTAAAAGAATTTAATTTTAATGGACCTCTTAATTTGGGAAAATACTTGCGTACATAAGATGTACGCAGCTCTGCGTACATCAGGGGTTATTCATGGGGTACAATGGGGTTATATCTAGGTTATACCCTCTTGTAACCTCCGATATAACCCGGATATAACTCCCCTGTACCCCCAAAATAACCTCTGATGTACGCAGCGCTGAGTACATCTTATGTACGCAAATATTTCTCTTTTACTCCTATTTACAATTTACTCAGATGAATTTATTTTTTTACTAATTATGCTCATGCCATCCGTACACAGGATATACGGCCAAAAGATAGGAAGTTGGTGGGGCCCAGAATTCTGAAGAAGCTGCCAGATGTCATCCGATGTTGGTATGATGGGAACTCGGGTAGGTTCCCATCACTCCGAACCTGAGCAAAATAAGTATTAATTTTGGATTCTGAATAGTTTAATTAAAATATAACATTATGAATTTAATTTATTTAGGTATTTACATACTTACCACCCAAATTCTATATATCCACATATCTAATACTTAAAATTTTCTTTTTATGTTTATACCACCTAAATCTTTTATAAAATACACCTTTTTATGCATGGGAAAGGTAATATCTGCGTAAAAAGTGAAGTTTATGTTAGATTTGAAATAAATAAGGATTAGTGGTATGTGTATAAATCTTCCAATTTTACATACTTATCATACAATTCCGATGTATTTGAATGTTACTAAATCTTGTAGTCGAACGCTATGAATAACTTCGGAGAAGTCTTTCTTCTCAAGTGAAACTCGACTAAATAAAAAGTGAAGATAATTAACTTGAGAATTGAGGACAGCGAGATCTAGACCCAAGTGAAGTTGAGAAGTTTTGACGACCACTTCCTGCATAAGAGCGACGATCCTAGACAAATGATAGTAAGAACTTAACAAGATTATCTAAATTATTTTGTATTTTAGTTACATCATAAAGAAATAGTAAATAAGATCATACAAAGAACAAAGTTTCTTGTAAAAAACAATGAAATTTACTGAGAACAGTAGCCTGCGAGGAGAGTTCACCATCAAGTCAACTAATTATACAGTTGAATAAATAATAGATGATAATTATGTTGAGTTGACATTTTTTTAGGCTACTCCTTGATGTGAGCCAAAATGAGCCTCTACGGAAACTCAGCAGACGTAGCCAAAGCGCCCGCAAGATGATTCCATGTAAGAGAGCCAAGAGGCCCTAGATAGACGAACATTCAACATGCATTGAAATCCATCACCCATGTATTAATTAATGAATTCGTGGGAACAACTGAATCCATCCAACAACCAAACTCATCCAAGAAAAAAGATATCCCAATAGAACTTTCTCATAACAACCCTCCTAAAAGTAGAATGTCAATGATGAACATTTATGATAAATAGTTGCCAAAGCAATGCATTATCAAATTTATATTAATTACATGCCTCATGCCATAAAAAAGATAAGGACGATAAAAGACCCCTCCAATTTTGTGCATAATAAATTCTTTATTTGCAATGCACAAGTTAAGCCTTTTATAAATATGAGTGAACATTGTAACAAAACTTCTAAAAGAAATAATGACTTTCATCTCCTTCTAGCTCTCTTCCGTTGATACAACCTTTCCTTGAGATTCCAATCCTCCAATAAAATTGAGATCCAATATATTTATACCTCACAAGGTAGAAAAAAAATAGATTTTTATCTATATAATTTTAATAATTGCATAAAAAATACAAAATTATAGTGCAATACAAATTGCATGTAGGTAATGTTGTTGGGGCCTGGTCATGCCCGAATTTGTCTATTATCTTGTCTTTATTCAAAATAAATTGCCACGCTCATTTAATCCATGTTACATGATGCTAAAGTTGTTTATAAAATGTTAATAAAAAAGGGGGTATTTTGCATACATATCACTCAATTCCTATGTATTTACATATCTAAAGCCTAAAATTTTATTTTATGCATTAATGCCACCCAAATCTTTCACAACACTTGAAAAATATCATCATTTTAACTTTTAACAAAATAAAATACACCGCTTCATGCATGAATAGTGGTATGCATGTAAAAATTGAAGTTTAGATGTTAAATATATAAATACATAAGATTAGGAATCTACGTGGTATGTATGTAAATCTTTCATAAAAAAAAAAATAATGAACTAAGATAATAGGGGCACCATTTACATACATATCATCCAATTCATACGTTTTTTACATATCCAGCACCTAAATTTCAATTTTTTTTTTACATTAATACCACCAAAATCTTTTATATCACATCAAAAGCATCATATTTAAACTTTTTAAAAGTGAAATGCTTATTTTAACGCGTAGCCAGGTTGAAATATATGTAAATATTACACTTTAGGTGTAAGATATGTAAATACAAAGGAAATGAGTGATACACATGTAAATCTTCCAAGATAGTAATACCAGAACGAGGCGTGACCACTCCTCCACGAGGCTAAGCGACAATAATGATCATCTTTTCCTGCATGACCATTCAATTCAGAATCATGACTATACAACAAAATAAAATCCAAAGTCTTCAGTTCACCATTTGATGTCATCTCAAAATCATCCATACCTTGATGTTGAAATTGCAGAATTCAGTGATCATATAACCATATAAGGCTGCCTGCCGAGCTCCTCAACAGAGCGCAGTGATGGCTCCTCTAAGCCCACGATTGGTGGTGCCGATCGACATCAAGAAGAAGCCATGGGAGCAGAAGCACCCTCTCCACAACCGTTGGCATCCTCACATACCGGCAGTTGCGGAGGTGACCGAGGGAGAGGTATTTAGGGTCGAGATGATGGACTGGTCCGGCGGAAGTGTTGCAGATAATGATTCTGCTATGGACATCAAATCCATCGACCTCGCCATTGTAAGTACTCAGTCCCTGCAAAAAAAACACCAGAGTATTTATGTTGTATAGTGTTCTCAATTCTGTATGTAGATGCAAAATATGCCTGGAGAACTCGGGCATTCTTCACTCAGTTTTGGAATGATAAGATGTAAGTGGAAAATTATTAGTTTATATTGACTCTGATTTCTAGTATAATTCATGTAAGAAAGCAAGTTGGATAGGTTGAAGAGTTCAATGGAGTTGGTCATTTAGGGTTTGAGAAATAAACTTCAACGGAGAAACTATTTTTGGGATGGTTGGATAGTTTTTTTTGTCTGGTTTGAGTTTCAGACCGCAACTATATTTATGTTTGGGACATTATTTTCTTGTTGCTTTCTATAATTTTTTATGGTAGAAAATTACTTTTTTCAATCTGACATTTTAAAATACAATGACTGTATGAAAACTACTATCTAATTTTTTTGTATATATATATATATAATTATTACTGTATTTTTTTAAGAAGTTATTTTCTTCATCACACTTTAAAATCCTGAACCCAAATAGAATATTGTTATAAAAGAAAATTAAAGTCTAGAGCAATAATGATTGAAAACCAAATGAGCCCCAAGAAACCATCCAGGGGTTTTCATGGCGACTGACCACTTTGTTTGAACTCAAGAAATAAATGGTGGAACAGTGATAATTGATATACTACCTAAAGAGAGCATAAAATTTGGCGCAGACACATTATCTGAGTGGACCTATAAGAGTTTTAGACAAAGGAGGAGCCCCAGCAAAGCCAGGTGATCTTCTAGCGGTCGAAATCTGTAACTTGGGTCCTCTTCCTGGAGATGAATGGGGTTACACAGCAAGTTACGACAGAGAAAACGGAGGTGGGTTTTTGACGGACCACTTCCCCAGTGCCACAAAAGCTGTCTGGTATTTTGAAGGAATATACGCATACTCTCCACATATACCAGGCGTGTCTTTGTAAAACATTGTTTTTCTACAGAATAGCTAAAAGTTTTTTTGATAGAAGTGGAGACTAATGCAAATAAATTTGCATTATGCAAAACAGGTGTTCGCTTTCCAGGTTTAACTCACCCAGGAGTAATTGGGACGGCACCATCCATCGAACTTCTCAATATTTGGAACGAAAGGGAGAAGAAGTTGGTTGAAGATGGCCCCAATTCTCTTAAGATATGTGAAGTTGTGCACCAGAGGCCACTGGCTTCCCTACCAACAACCAAAAGTTGCCTCCTTGGAATGGTAAGAAGAAAAAATTTTAACATGATTCTGAGATCGCTTGAATATCACAAAAAAAACATGTTTAATTAATCTGATTATTTTTACCTTTTTTTTCGCAGCTTCACTGTTAAGCTTGACTAAATCTTACAATGGAGCTACTGTCATATCTTAGGTACCATATGATTAAAATTAAAAATTTGTACCAATAAAAAAATTATTAACTATTGGCATAGTTGTAACTATGGGTGATCAAATCATTAAAAGGTGTGAAAGTTTTAGATATCTCCAGCTTATTGTTCAAAGTGATAGTGATAGTGATATAGATGGGATAGTGATATAGATGGGGATGTTATTAGTAGAATTCAGATTAGTTGGTTGAATTCGAGGAATGCACAGGCCTATTGTGTGATGGAAAAGTACTACTTGGACATAAAGGAAAATTTTATTATAAGATGGTAGTCAAATCTGCAATGCTTTATGACACAGAATGTTGGCCTTTAAAAAAAAAACATAAAACAAAATTAAGTGTTGCTAAGATGAGAATGCTGAGGTGGATGAGTGGCTTGACACTTAGAGATAAAATGCGAAACGAATCTATACGTGAAAGGTTTGGTGTAGCTCCAATGACAGACAAGATTAGAAAGAGTCGTCTTAGATGGTTCAGTCAAATTAAAATTGAGCTTCTGATGATTTGATTAGTAGATAGTTGTTTTAGATTCGACTTATGTTAAGAAAGGCTAAGGTAGACCTAAAAAGAAATGGGCATATTGTATAAATAATGGTCTTAATCTATTAGAACTAAAGAAAAATATGACACTCAATAGGACAATGTAGAAAAAAGATTCATATAGCCGACCCCATTTAGTGGGATAAAGACTTGTTTTTAGAAAATACATAAAAAGGGGCCACTTGGGATCACTTTTGTTTTTTGTTTTTTCTTTTTGTTTTGCTTATGATTTGAGTTATTTTCAAAAGCACTCAAAAATATTTTTTAAAATATTTCGAGTGTTTTTAACATAAAGCTCTTTTATTTTCAAAACCAAAAAATAAAAATATGAAAAAAACGTGCTAAACAAACATGTTTTCAAAATAAATAAAAAATAAAAACAAAAAATAAAAGTGATCTCAAACAAGCCTAGATAATGATAAATTAGGATGAATACAAGAATTATGTAACAAGTAGAAAAGCAAACTGATTAGAGAACGTTAGTTCAAAGATGAGCATAGCAGAAAAAAGCCAAAATGCAACATATTGAAGCCAACTTTATATGTGATAATTTTATCCAGAATCCAGGAAAATATAAAGAACATAAAATAGAGTAGGTAAAGAGAAAAACTTCAATTTCCAATGAGTCAAAAAATCTCAAATAAACATCGAAAATTCAGCTTACACAATTTGTATATGAAAATAGATAATCTGGGAAATGGACGTTGTATGGGGCCACTGAAAAATATCATGACAACAGTTGTTGACTGAATTTGGATTAGCTTGCAGCAGTAAGATCTATATTATCAGAGATGCCTAACTCTTTTTGCGATAAGAATCAAGAGTAATGCTTCACTCCACAAAAAAAAAAAAGAAAAAGAATGACATTTAACAACTTAAAACCTTGTTTCTTGCACCTATAGTATATAAAATTAAAATGGATATAAGGGCCATTATTTTTTATTGGCCCAAATAAGCTATAGGCACAAGAAACAAAATTTTGGTATTTTAAGCTTGGGTTTCAATGGGGAATGAAATATTACAGGTTAGATAAAATACTCCCAAAAAAGCTTGAATGGGATGATAACCTCATTTTATAGTTTCCATTGAAGTAAATAATTATTAAATTACTAAATTTTAACCTAGTACAAAATTTTCTGTTTACTTGAATATTAATTTGAATGAAATGATTGTTTTCCTTTTAATCTCTTAGGATTAAGTCTTCTCAAACTTATTTTTCTCCTATAAACTCCCAGAAAAATCAAAGCACAATAGAAAAACCAAAATTAATAATATAAAGTGATAGTTGCTTTACCATCTCTCTGTTCGTAGAAATCATGTTCGTAGAAACATTAACATTGAAAACTGCATAACACACTCCAATTTTTTATCCAAAATTATTTGAACCATTTATCTACCAAATAATCCCTTTATTCTTTAATTTTTTTACTTAAGATTTCCTAATTAAAATGATATAGTTTGCAAATCTACAAATTCCATCAAGGAACTATGATCTTAGAAAGACAAAAATGTCATCTATGAGCTATCATTGCCAAGTGAAGATATGCCCTCTGTATTTAACTGCTCAAACATGCAGCAAAAGAAGTCTGCATTCAAAACATGCCGCAAAACACCGTTAGCCAAATCCCAACAAATTGGAAATAAGACTACGGAATTAATGTAAGGGAACATTATGGCTTTGCTATTTAGAATTTAAATTGAGAAGAAAGAAAGTTGGTAACTTGCTGACACAAAGATTAAGTAACGGAAAAAGGAAGTATTGACTAAAGGCTGCATACCCACACTTTAAACTAAAGTTTGCATGGTAAGAAAAAAAAAATTATATGCTATCTCAAAGTTTTTCACCAAGATGCTAAAACTATCTATGCAGCCAAATCTCTATTACATCTTCGTTGGAACCAATGGTAAATTTGCAAAAAATGTGACCCTACAGTCAAATAAGTATGACTTATGGATTCAACACCAACAGCTAGCACTAGATACCAAATAGAGAGTTATGTCCACAAAAGACTTTTAGAATCTTGATTATACATATTTTTATCAGTATTTCCATAACTGCTGGTTTGATATACTGTTATTATTTTATTATGGATTTTCTATTGCATCTTTCTTGGTTCAGACTAGCCATAAGGGGGTTGTCAATACGGTTTCTGGAGAGGTTTGATGTGCATATTCCTACATTTGCATTGGGGCTTGTTTAACTGTCCTGAACCCATAATCTACAGATAAATATCAAGGCAACCTAATCACCCACTTATTGTTGAAAGGAGAACTGAGTAAAAATTAAGTCCCATCTCAATTATGCCATTTCTATTACACCTGTTATCTCTCACTTCTACATGTTTTAAAATTCTCTAAATTTCCTAATTTTGTCATTATTCTTGAACTTCTTTTCTCCTACATCTTCATATCTAGTAAATATATACTTGTTAGTGTCAATTAAAATACCGTCTCATCCACTTGAGACATTTTTTTGATAGCCAGTATCTATATCTATATATATATATATATATATATATATAGAAATATATGTATGTATGTATATGTATACATATACATACATAGATACATATACATACATAGATACATATACATACATGCATGCATACATACATATATACATACATATACATACATACATACATACATATGTATATAATAGTACGAAAGCTGAATCATGCAATTTCCTGTATGTGGCAACCATAAGCGACTAGACTTGTCATATGATGTGAATAAGTATCTGGGCTCTGTTTGGTTGCCATGCATTAACAAAATCATATTAGAACACAAGGCGAGATCAAATTACGAAGTTCCTTATTCCTATAAATTGTAGATTAATGAAGGAACACCTGAATGGGAGAAGATTGCAAGTGAGGCTGCAAGAACTATCCCTGGAAGGGAAAATGGAGGAAATTGTGACATAAAAAATCTAAGTACTGGATCAAAAATATACCTTCCAGTTTTTGTGGAAGGTGCCAACTTCAGTACAGGCGACATGCATTTCTCTCAAGGTGATGGTGAAATTTCACTTTGTGGAGCAATAGAGATGAGCGGATTCCTAGAACTCAAGTAAGTAAAATCCTCTTGATTTGCTGAAGATAATATTTTTTTTCCTGCATTTATCTTCAAATTTGACATAAAACAATAAAGTAAACCATAGGTGAATGAAGAACATTTAATATGAATACTATTGAGAAAGTAAATCTTGAAATCTGTACCACTTGACAATCATCATACAATAGAGATAATTTTTTCTTTTATTTTTTCGCAAAACCAAGATGTTTCCCAAAACATAATTTCTTAGACAAACTATAGAGTCGACCTTTAAAATATATATTTAAGGACTGGTTGGACAAGCCAAATTGTCTAATTCAAGCCAAGGCCCAACACTTGATATGGATTAGATACAGATTATTTTAGCAAACCTGGGTGCTCCAACAAAGAAGCAAAATTTATCTGGACTATTTCTCTATGAAACGAAAGACAGGGTATCTCCCAATGCCCCCAACCCTCACTGCTTCTTGTCACATTGGGTGATAGGAAGACAGTAAAATTTACATGGTCATTTTCTCTTTAGCCTCTATAACCTAGCCACAAACGTCAAGTAGTACTTTATTTACAAACAAAGTTTAAGTAACTCCCCCTTTACAAAGTCATCCCATTAATAAAAGAAATAGATTGTATTTGTATATTATCAGATTACATTTGATCCACAGCTTTATGTAAAAATGTCATATTCCTAATTTGGTTAGGGCCATTGCTTCACACCAAGAAATAAAGACTTCCCTAAATCTTTGTGGAAAGCTCATGACCATCAAGGACTATCATTTCTAACCAAGAATAAAGAAAGATGAGAAAGTTTGCAGTTTCCTTTAACTTCAATTAATGTTTGTCAAAGAAGAACGAAAGTAAGACTTTCTCACTCTGTACTCTATTAGTTTCAGTGATCAATCTTGGTGAGGAAAAGTATAAAGTTGGTCAGAACCAACAAATGACTTTCCATGAAAAAAGAGTGGCCTATATTCATAAAATAATTTTTAATTAAATAAAAGGATCTCTCTTTTGACCAAAAAAATAAATTTCATCTTACTCCAATTCCATGAAATTGTCCTTTTATCCGAAAGTGCACCATCAAATTTAAAAACTAACTATGGATATCTAAAAAAAAGGAAAGCAATCAACAAGCACTCTTAAGACAATCATTAATAAGCACGAAATGCATTTTAGAGAACAAAATAACAAAATTCATTTAATGCATTTAATGATTTAATGCATTAAAAGCATTAAAATGCATTTAATGCATTAAAAGCATTAAATGCATTTAATGATTCGAAGATAGATGAAAACACAACCTCTCCTTCACCTTCACATCTTTCCTTGGCAAGTAGGCATTCCATCAAAAAACAGAACCCCGAGGGAAGTACCACGACATAAAATCTTAAAACTAAAATAGTGATCCTCATTGCACATTAACAGGTTTAACTATGCCCACATTGAAAGTTGACTGAGTAAAAAAGTTGGAATTTTGCGTGTCCTAACAGGTCTTAACCATTTACCATTTGTCAAGCTTTTTGGTGTAACGGTTGGAGTTTTATCAAAAACTCTAAAATTAAGTATGCTTGTGCTCTAGAACTCCTAGGATGGGCCACCATTGGAAGTTACATTGGGGCTAATAGGATAAAGAAGATTATATCTTGATGGATGAGAGTTTGGGCTGTTACAAATTGTATTAGAGCATTAAACTAGTATGACGATTGAAATATTTGCCTGGTGAATGATTCTTGGTTAAGAATACTATAATGAGAGCGCCGGTTACATAAGTGAAGAAAATTGTGAAACCGCTCGAGTAAAACGAAGTTGAACTCTTAAACCACAATAATTCCGCAGAATCTTCGGCGGTTTCACTCTTGATGAATGGGATGAAATCCTCCAAACCTAGAGAGTAAAGAAAGGGGGCAAGAAAGCCCTCTTCACAGTAAGAACATTAGAAGAACACATATTTTACAATTGATATTAGCATTCCTTGCAATTTCCAAGGGCATTTTATTCCATATGGACCCAATCTTTTACTAGATTTTAAACTTATTCTTAGGCAACAACAAAAGGCATTCTTGTCTAAGTCAAGACCTAGAATGTCCATTGTCAATTAAACTTCCAAATCCAACATTTGATGATTTTTTCTTCAAGATGCGAGATCATAAAAGGAGGGATGAAGGAATACCTAACCCCAATGGGTCCAACCGAGCTGCACGTGAACCCCATATTCGAGATTGGGCCAGTGGAGCCGCGATTCTCAGAGTGGCTTGTGTTCGAGGGCATCAGCGTAGACGAGAGGGGGGAGCAGCATTTCCTGGACGCCACAGTGGCCTACAAGCGCGCCGTGCTGAACGCCATTGATTACATCTCCAAGTTCGGCTACTCGAAGGAGCAGGCTTACCTCCTTCTCTCCTGCTGCCCCTGTGAAGGCCGCCTCTCCGGCATCGTTGATATTCCCAATGCAGTCGCCACCATTGCTATTCCCACCGCCATTTTCGACCAGGTTTGTTCTTCCCGCTTCCGTAAAAATTGAATAATTTGAAATTAAAAAATATTTACATACCTGCCACTCAATTTCTATGTATTTACACATTTACTATCTGAACTTCAATTACATATGCCATCTTATTTATATAAAAATATATTTATTTTATTTTTTAGAAGTCAAAATATTGATATATTTGATGTAATATGAAATATTTGGATATGTAAGTGTGAAGTTTGTAAATAAAAAAGAATAGAGGGTCTGCATGTAAAAGATTCAGAAAATAATACTAATTTATGGTATTATTATCCAATGAGCGCGCAGGATATTCGGCCAAAAGCTGGAAGGGTGCCGGTGGGACCCAGCGTCGTGAAGAGATTGCCAGATGTCATTCGATGCTCTTACGATGGAGACCTTCCAGTAACTCAGAACCCAAGCAATGCGAAATAAAGCAGGTTATCAACAATTTTGTCATGTTTGATTATGCGGGTGAAATAAGCTGAACTCCACTGTTGTGAATTGATTTCTAAATAGCGCTTTTGTGAAATAGATCAATTGTGAGGGGGGAAAGGAAATGGAACAGAACAGCTGTTATTGTATGGAATCAATACTGAAGCTTCAGTTGGTGGTTGCATTTGAGCAGGGTATTTTAAGTCCCATATCGAGCTGCTATAATTTTTCAGAAAAATAATTAAAAAAATTACTTATTGCTGCTAAAGTTGTTGAAAGCAATTAAAAAACAGTCAGTCAAGCAGAGCTATTTATTTATTCATATCTAAAATAATAAAATAATGAGAAAATTGCCTCTAAAATAACTGTAGGGGCGTTTACATACATACCACCCAATTCCTATTTACTTACATATCTAACACATCATGCTCCGTATGGCCGGGCCAACTCCATTCAGCCCTCACCAGCTTGGCCGCCGGTACTTAGCCGACTGCATTCGGCTGATAACATAGCTCTCCCAAGAGAGTTCTTTAAAAAACATATTAAAGAAAACATTTTGTCCAAGGGAGAATTCGTCACGAAGGAGTAAAGCCAAGCAGCAAGAAAAACTATAACATGAAAAATCGGTCATGACCCTCCTTATCTTTTTTTATTGCATTTATCCTTTTTCTTACTTTGTCAATACGAAGTCACACATAACACTAGGGAACTTGTCTCTCACAAGCAAGTTTCTGAAATTGTGGAAGAAAAAATGGCCTATATTTTGGACCCTACTCGGATTGATAGTTGAATGTTAGGAATGACTTTGGAGAAGCTCTTTTCAAAATATAACTCAGTCAAATAGAGATTGAAGTCAGTTAACCTTGTGGTTTAAGACAATGAGATGTCGGCCCACATAAGTTGATAAAATATAGTGAATACTCCATGTAGGAGAGCTATGACCCTTAGGTGAAGGATAGTTTGAATTTAATGAAACTACTTGAATTTCATTATGATCGAATCATGTTAAAAGTAAATAGTCAATCTAGTCACACAAAATGAAGAGACTCCTTTCACTTATAACTCTTGAAGAACTCTCTTTGTAAGATCAAGTGAAGACCAAGTGATGATTTGGTGACCTATGAGACTACTCCCAATGGTGGGCCAAAATGCCTCAGGTTAGAATCCTGTAAGAGAGCTAAGAACCCCTAGGTAGATAAATAGTCGACACATAAACAACCCACACATTTTTACTTAAATAATTTTTTAACTTGTATTTGAAGAAAAACATGCACTTGTGTTAAATATATAGATAATTTTAACTGCATATTTATCATTGTCCTATTCTTTTTGCATGTCTTTCAAAGGTAAGAGAATCGAAAAACTAAAATATGTACATCTAAAAAGTGCCTGCACCGATCTTAAAGAGATCTGATAAAGAGTAAGGCTTAGGTTGGCCCACTGCCAGGAAATCGTGAAGCCCAACTAACCGAACTAGCAAAGTCTTACAAGCAAGACAACATGGCTAAAACCGAACGAGCCATGATGCAATCAAGAAGATGATCGAATGATCTAAGCGTGAACCAACTGATCAGATAAAAGATTAAGCGTGTCTGAGCTAATCACCAATGGAAAACTTGTCCGACACAATAGCCTCAATATAACCGATCCAAAGAAAGATTTAGTTCCACAAAGTATCTCCAACCATCCTGTAGGAGCTCAGAAAAACTCCTTGCTAAGGATGGAAGGAGGTCAACCAGACAGGGTCAGCCGACTGATTCATTCCTATCAAGCTCAACTAACCAAGCTAATCCTATCGACCCAAAATTAATTAAGCTTAGTCGGTCGAGCTAAAAGAAAGCCGGACGATAAACCGACATTTGAAAAATATCAAAAATATCTTTATACAAACATTTTCTAAACAGGGGCAAAAGTGTAATATCAGAATTATATTTTATCTTCCATAAATAGAATAAATATTTTATGAAGAGGAGAGGAGATTTTTATTGTTCATCACTCTTCACTCCTGTCTCTCCCTCGCTCCCTCCATCACCACTTCGATGTGATTCCTCGAATTCAACAAATATCATTTTAACTTCTATTTTAACTTCTATTTTAACTTCTAAAATGTGAAATATTTCATTTCATGCAAACCTAAGGCGTCAAATATATACAAATTGAAGTTTTAGGCGTTGGATATCTATGTAATCTAATAAAAGTTGAGTGATATGCGTAAATCTTTCATGGCTATATTCGTATGCGTTGTTGTGATTTGAACGACCGGAAAAAAAAAAGAAGGGGGCATTTACATACATACCAATCAATTCCAATGTATTTACAAACAAAACAACAAAATTTTATCATTTACATTTATACCACCAAATTTTTCATATCACATCAATAATACAATCATTTTAACTTAAAAAAAGTGAATTACACATTTTCATGCATAGGTAGCGGTATATACATCACAACTGAAATTTAAACGTTAAATTTGTAAATAAATAAAATTCAAATGGTGAATATGTAAAATTTCTCAAAAACTTATGAGATAAAACATCAACACATCACTAGACGGGACGACTCCTCCGACTCCTCACAAAACTACAAAGCAAGACAGCAATAATGATTATATTTTGCATAAAAAACCAAAATAAAATCCAAAAAACACCCAGTCAGCGCCTCACTATTTGTCATCATCTCAAATCATCCATCATGATATAGATATAACTAGATAAGGCTACCTACCAAGCTCCTCCACAGAGTGCAACGATGGCTCCTCTAAGCCCTAGATTGGTGGTGCCCATCGACCTCAAGAAGAAGCCATGGGAGCAGAAGCACCCTCTCCATAGCCGCTGGCATCCTCACATACCGGCAGTTGCAGAGGTGACAGAGGGAGAGTTATTTAGGGTCGAGATGATGGATTGGTCCGGCGGAAGCGTTGGAGATAATGATTCAGTCATGGACATCAAATCCATCGACCTCACCATTGTAAGTACCCAGTTTCTTTCTGCCAAAAAGCACCAGAGTACTGGTGTTGTCTGGTGTTCTCAATTCTGTATGAAGAACTCTGGCATTCTTCAGTCAGTTCTGAATGATGTAATTGGAACAAAGAAATTCTGATTGTCACGTAAACTAGAACTAATTTCTGGTATGATTCACGAAAAGCAAGGTTGGTGAGTTGAGAAGTTCACTAAGGTAGTAGATGGTCATATCTGATCAGGTATCAGAAATAAACTTCAAAGAAGAGACTACAGGTCTGTTTTGAGACTGTTACGTTTCAAATTGCCATTACAATTCTATTCTACCATTTGAGAAATTAGGGCAATAAACGCAAGAATACACAGAAAACCAAGCAAGAACACAAGGATTTAGCGAGTTTCGGTAACATGCTTATGTCCTTGGGAGCAAGAGCGGTGGTCTTTTTGATTTCAGAAAACAGTATATACCATTAGAGTTACAAATACAACATATATATATATATATATATATATATATATATATAACCCTAGTGTACAATATATAGTTATAAAATTAACCATGTACGGTACCGCCCCTGCACCCCCAACCCACTTAACGAAGCTCCCCCGATTAAACAGATGCTTCCGCTCTACTGTCTGTCCCGCTCCAACATTTGTCGCTTATCTGGTACATGAGCCATACCATCCAGGGCCTTCATGGTGGCTGACCACTTTGTTTGAACTGAAGATAAAATTGAAGGAATATATTAATTGATATGCTACCTAAAGAGTAAAATTTTTTGCAGGGACATTATCTCAGTGGGCCTATAAGAGTTTTAGACAAAGAAGGAACCCCAGCAAGGCCAGGTGATCTTCTAGCAGTAGAAATCTGTAACTTGGGTCCTTTTCCTGGAGATGAATGGGGTTATACTGCAACTTTCGACAGAAAGAGGAGGTGGATTTTTGACGGACCACTTCCCCAACGCAACAAAAGCTATCTGGTATTTTGAAGGAATATACGCATACTCGCCCCAAATACCAGGTGGTCTTTGTAAAACATTGTTCTTCCGCAAAAACAATAGCTGAAAAGAGTGTTGATAGAAGTGGAGATTAATGCAAAGAAATTTGTATTATGCAAAACAGGTGTTCGCTTTCCAGGTTTAACTCACCCAGGAGTAATTGGGACGGCACCATCCATCGAACTTCTCAATATTTGGAACGAAAGGGAGAAGAAGTTGGTTGAAGATGGCCCCAATTCTCTTAAGATATGTGAAGTTGTGCACCAAAGGCCATTGGCTACCCTGCCAATAACCAAAGGTTGTCTCCTTGGAATGGTAAGAAGAAAATTTTTTTAAGATTATTCTGAGATCACTTGAATATAACCTAAAAATTATGCTTAATGGATTCGATTATATTTCCCTTCATCTGTAATTTCAAAAACGCTAGCATTTGCAAGTGCAATATTTCATTGTTGAAGTGTCATAAGGAGATGGATTCTATTACTGGCAGCAAGGTGACTTTTAAAAGCAATTTATAACTTTAATAGCATTTTGAAGGATGAACAGTAAGCACAAGGTAGAATAAAACAATTATTTTCCTTTTTAATCTCTTAAGGCTAGGTCTTCTCCAACTTAATTTTCTCCTATAAACTCATCAAAAAATGAAAGCTCTAGCCTTATCTTGTCATCGTCTTCATTGTGTTATGTATGCTTTTCAATCTTCATTTGCTTTACCAAAGATTCTTTCATTTCTCGCCGCTTCCCTCGCTGAAACATTGCTCAACTTATTTCATTTTTTGTATCTCATTTTTGCTTGAAAGTACATGTTTGTGTGCCAATTAAGCTTTGGAGATTAAATATGAAACATATGGCTATTAATTATTTTCTTATATTTGATTTTTAAAATTCATATTTTTATTGTGTAAGATTTAAACATAAAACTTAGGAGCTTATGGCGCATGAATTGGGGCTTACGACAAACCTCATTATGGATAAAATGCTTCCATCTTTCAAAACACTGATCAATACTAAAAATAACATAATATTTTGACCATGAAAACATCAAACTCCATATACAATTTGCGAAGTCTTCTAAAGTCTGATAACTGAACGTTGTACAAGGCACATGCGTGACAGCACAATAACAGGACCATAATTATTAATAAAGAAGTTGTTGATTTCTGATTACCATCCTCTAACTTTAGAAGCCATGCCCT